CACGGACGCCGTTCATGGTTATTCCTCAAGGCTGAGAGATGCCTTTCCACCACAGATAATTTGATAAGTGAACATAGCGCACTCTCTTTAAACTTGACTTTGTGCACAAAATCCCTTAGTCATAAACCCTTGACCAGGTCTGGGACTAGGATTGGATCCAGCCGCGCCCAGACTCCTCTCAGGAGGAGCTTGCAAAGCAAGGAGGTCCAATCCGAACCTCATGACTCAACAGGAGGATATCCAAGATAATCGTGTGTTATCTCGAACCTCCACGCAGTGAATAACAAGCCACCTTGCCACAGCATCTCGTGAACCATAATCCATGTCAATAAACCCTATTTTTATTTCTTTCATAGGAGGGAAGTGCATTTTGTCACTCACCCCCGCCCCGCCACCACTCGCTTGGTGACACCAGGCTGCAACCCCAGGACTCGAGCCTTTCTCCCGAGGAAAGTGTGGATGAAGAGCACGTGAAGGGCTTCTTGATGTGGTCCTTGGACGCTGGTTGAACCTGCAAGCCAAACAGCACAATGCTGTTGAGGTAGAAAGCCCCACAAGAGGAGGTTTGTGACAGCGTCCTGGTGATCCACGTAACGGGGCTGCGGCACCTAGCAAAGCTTAGATTTAAGGCTCATGGTCTTAGGTTGATCCAATAATCCTTGCAAGGGATACAAAACCCTGCTTGGGATCAAGGTGGGCTAGATCAAGCGATGACGCTGGAGAGAGGAGGCAGGAGAAATTCTTCCTGCCCAAGAGATGTCAAACGGATATTGCACATTTCGAGTGCACGGCAGGAGAATACAGGAACCTCCGAGCTGAGACTAGAGGCCGAGGACCCGGGGGGAAGTTTTGCCCTCGGGATGCTGGCCAGCTGCCCTGTGTTGTCTTGTCCCGCTGGGCCCAGAGGAAGTTGTGACATCCCCCAAGCATGGGGCAGCGCGTTGGAGGCCGGCGCTCACCTAGCGCCACCCATGCCCCCCTCTGTAGGGTGGACCACGGGGAGCACCAGGTGTTGTTCCAAGCTTTGCAAGGCCGGGTTTGTCCTGAGGAACCCCAACGCGTCCTGCCCGTCCCATCCTCTCGCATTCTCCTCCCCGAGAGCCAGGTCATGCCCCAGCAAAGCATCGCAGGGAGGAAACCAACCTTGACTTCCCCTTTCCCTCGCGGCAGCCTCGGTCCGGGGAGCCCGGCGCTGTCTGCAGACGTGGCCCGGGCATGGCGAGGAGGAGCTGGGCTGCTGCTGCCTTCATCTTGCTGAGCTGGCTTGCCGGTAAGTGGGCCAGTGGTCCAGCAGGGTGTTGGGGAGGAGGATCTTCTCTAGGTGTGCCTGCTTGAGCAGGAAGGTGGGACTCGATGCTCTCCAGGGGTCCCTTCGAACCTTGGAGATTCTGAGGATCTCGAGGGTGGGTTTCCCTGTCTGTGTGTGTTGGGTTGGACTTGATGATCTCCAGAGGTCCCTTCCAACCTTGGAGATTCTGAGGATCTCGAGGATCTTGGAGGGCTTCTCTGGCCAACAGGGATGTAAGGAACATGTCACGCAGCTCCAGAGGGAACCTCATCCTTGCACTGAATGAACGTGTCCTCCTTAGGACAGGACCAAGCAGAGGCCACGCTTGGCGCGGCTGGGCCTAGCAGGCCAGGAAGGGACAAGGCATTAGGAAAAGCTCTTTTTGATCCCTCTAAGTGGCTTCAGACCTTCGTGCAGAGCTCCGGAGCAAACCGTGCCCATCTGCAAGGTGGCCTCTCTTGCGTCCGTGTCCCTAGAGGGCCATGTCCCTTCCTCCACCGGCCAGCAGGTCCTTTTCTAAGCGCCAACACCAAACTGACCCCTTGTGCTCCCCGAAACAGGCGCCAGCGAGACGGAGACCAAGACCTGCAGCTCTCCAGGTGAGTGCACCACAAAGGGAACGGTCAGAAAAATACCGTCCACGTCCTCTCTCTCGCAGCCCCAAAAACGCGCACGTGTCCTTGGGGCTGGCAGTGAGAGGGGAGAGCTTGGAGCTCAACTCCTCAGCTGGGTTCTGGCATGGCATCGGCATGAGACCTTTCTCAGTGGTGGCCAGTGCCAGGACAAGGGGCAATGGGTGGAAGTTGAAACCCAGGCAGCTCCATCTCCAGGTGAGGAGGAACTTCTGCAGTGTGAGGGTGCCCGAGCCCTGGACCAGGCTGCCCAGGTGGAGTCTCCTTCTCTGGAAGTCTCCAAACCTACCTGGATGCCACCCCATGTCCCGTGCTCTGGGTGTCCCTAAGGTTGGACTAAATGATCTCCAGAGGTTCCTTCCAACCTGGAACATCCTGTGATTCTCTTTCCCTTGTCCTCGTGGCAAAACCTTCCTTTGCTCTCTCCAAGTTTCTCCAGTGGCTCCATCCGAGGAGAACCGCGACCCTTCTCCCCATGGGTGACGTTGTGGCCACGGGGGCTGGCATTCACTGGGCCCAAGGCGGCTGCAAGGCTGGAAAACCCCCGTGTCCACATGCTTGACCAAGACGGGAGGCTTGCTTAGCTCCACGACAAGCAGCTTCCTACATGGAGCTAGAGGAAGAGGTTTCTTCTCAAGTTAGAGCTCAAACAACAACAACAAATATATATATATATAAATATATATTTTTAATATATTTACCCTCCAGCTCTTCTCTTCCAGGGTCTGTTTCTGTCTTCATCTGCTTCAGGGCTGATTCCTTACACGAGCAGAGCTTTGGCTTTCCAGACATCAAAGTATGTCTCCTCTCCTCTCCTCTCCTCTCCTCTCCTCTCCTCTCCTCTCCTCTCCTCTCCTCTCCT